CCAAAAGCTACAACTCTTGTTGCATAGGTCCTGCTTTACCTTGGTCTTAACCATCCAGCAGAAAAGTATAAAAATGAAGTATAAGAAGTAAAGCCATGGTGTTACGTTGAGCTATAGGGGACTCAGGTCAACAATTTCTGACATTGCCAATCAAGCGGAAGACTCAATACTATTATGGGCTACTGGACTCTTTTAGAATATTTTGCTGAGTTTACATACCTATATAATATTGAATATACCAAAAAAGGGTATACAGATCAATGTCCATTTTGTATCTGTGTGTTCGAAGTGGTTAGGATAGACATATAGTTACATTCTCTTAATGAAGAGAATGATTTGCTCTGATGGTGTCTGTAGATAGGGTATCATGTCCTCATCTTGTACAGCAATTAACCACTGGGAAGAATGTATGCAATGTGTTGATTAACGAAACTGTCCTACTAATTTGATTTGAAACTGTCTCACTGCTATTTGTTTATCAATAAAATTATGGGAAAAAAAAGAAAAAGGACAAAGTTTAACATTCCTACTTAGTCACATCAACAGTTTAAGAAACCAATGGCATGTGTTAGAGAAAAAAAAAAAAAAAAATTCCAGTCCAAGAAAAAAGTTAATAGGAGAGACACAGAATAGAATCTCCAGATCTAAAGATTCCATTCAGGAGGGATGAATCCTTAAACAGTTACTAGTGTCGACAGGAAAAGGATTAATGCTTATAGAAAAGTATTTTGAGGGGTTGGAAAGACAGCTCAGCAGACTCAAGTGCCTGCTTAGGCAAGAGCAGGGACTGTAGTCTCCTCCCTGTACATGCTGCACCAGTCCCTCCCCAGGGCAGGGTGAGCCAGCCACAGAATCCAGGTATGGTGGCATGCTCCTGTGATCCCAGCGCTGGGGAGGCTGAAGAACAGGAGGATCACTATGAATCCAAGTTGTGTAGTGAGACCCTGTAACAACCAAAGTATATTAAAAGAAAAAGAAAAAGAAAAAGAAAAAGAAAAAGAAAGAAAGAAAGAAAGAAAGAGCAAGCAAGCAAGCATTTTGAGAAAGGGTCTTACTATGTTTCCCAGACTGGTCTCAAATTCATGGACTCAAACAATCCTACATCAGACTCTCAAGTAGCTGAGACTACAAGAGAATATGATCATTCTATAGTGATACATATATATTCCTATTTATAACAGCACAATTCACAACAGCTAAGCTTGGAAACAAACTAGATGCTCATCAATAAAGAAAAGATGGTGTTATTCTTCAGTCATAAAGAATGAAACCATGTCATTTGGAAGAAAATGGATGGCTCTTGAGACCATAACAATAAATGAAGACAAGGAAATATAAATATTGTATGATTTGTATGTATGAGAACTCAAAATATAAAATGCAAAAGAAAAGTGAGAGATGGTAGGAAAGAGGCAGACTTCTGGGAAATAGACAAAGAGGATCACAAATGATCTAAACATGAAAAAAATATATCCATAATAGATGCTATACCAATCCCCCAAATACTATTATGTACTGCAGACATAATAAAGAATTAAAACTTCACTGCCTTAACCACTTAGTAGTCCAATTATTTAAATACAGAATTGACCAAAATTGTGTATATTTTTAATTTTTATGAGGTAATATAACAGGGAATGTAATGATAATAATCTTATCAAACTTATTTGATACAAGTATTCACTAGTTGAAATGACACTTGCCCAAGCTGTGCTTGGGATTTCAGTATGTAAATGGTATGCTGCCCCAATGAATGACCCCTGGGATAAACTGTGAGGGGGATAAACCCTTGCACAGATGCTTGAAGTCCTACTGTACCTGTCTGGTCTTGGCTGAGGTTTCAATGAACGGAATCCCATAACTCTTGGCCAGTTCATGGGCTTGTTTTGTGTCAACAGTCCTTGTTGGCAAATCACACTTGTTCCCTACCAGCACCATAGGTACGTCATCTGAGTCTTTTACTCGTTTAATCTGCTCCCTAAAATAAGGAATATGCTCTTATAAGAAAAACAAGCTTTTGGAAATGAGGAGACTGGTAGGGCAGAAGACAAATGGGCAGGTTGTATGTAGTGCTATTAGCTTCTGTTTTGAGTTTCTCATTTTTGATCACTTAAAGGAACCTTGCATACAAAGAAGACTTGTTGAGACTTCACACAAACACAGGAGCTATAGGAAAGCTGCAAGCACCAGTTTACTTTCTACTGAAAATAGGCGGCTAATCTGTCTTGATACATGCTTTTGTGAGGCAGCTGGACTCTACAGAGATTGGCTCTGGACTTGGTGGCAGCCAGAAATCAGGTGCTAATGTCTGAAATATAAAAACTGAAGATTTCTGTCTCTAAACAACTTTCTGAAGCTCCCTTGGAGTAAGAGCTTTTAATGGAACATAATCTACCCACTTTTCAAGATGGGTAGTACCAAGTATTTTTTTTTTAGTAAAGTTATAGCTGGAAGTCTAAGATACCAGACAGAAATACTAGAACTGATCTTAATAAAGGGAATGGGTAGTTGAAGGATGCACAAATGCCTAAAGACAGCATTTCTTTCACTGACCTAAGAGATAAACACAGCACAGCTCATAAATTTTCTTCTGATCATTTAACAGAACTTTGTGCACCAGATGAAACATGCACAAACATGGCAATTGTTAGCCACATGTAGCCATGAGCGTTTTAAAAGAGAGTTGTTAATGTGGTCATTCAAGTAGTTTTTGAATCTGACTTAATTTTAATTTAAATGTAAACAACTGTATCTGGTTGTGACTACCATCCTGCACAGCAGTGCTCTATAATCTACCTTTGGATGACAGTCATGCTCCGAGGCTGCTTTTCTTGGGCTATTTAAAGAACTGTGCATTGGTACCACGGTAGCAATGTAGGTACCTACATTTTGTCTTTTTGAGACAGGGTTTCATTATGCAGTTCAGGATGGTCTTCAACTCAACTTTGTAGCCCGAGTAGCCTCAAACTCAAAGCAGTTCTCTTGCCTCAGGGCAGCAGCCTACACCATGGAATTTTAAGATAGCCTAAAGTACCTGAACTTACTATGTATTGCCAGATTACTATTGTTCTTTCCAACTTTCTTTGAGGATCAGGGAAAATTTCTTGTCAGCACAATTTTGCTTTTTTCTGAGCAAATTAATTTGCTTGCAGCATTCACATAATTTAATCTTTCAGCTGCTACTTCCCTTCTGAGACAAGGTCTTGCTATGTAGTCCAGGCTGGAACTCACTATGTAGCCCAGGTTGGGCAGCAATGCTCCTGCCTCAGCCTCTTCTGTGCTGGGATTACAGGCATGTTCCACCACACTTGGGTTTTCCTGATGCTTAAGTTTATTTTTCATCAATTTTTATCTTGCTTATAGTACGTGCATAAATTCCTTGTAATGAAAAAAGATTTCTAGTAAGTCAGCAAATGTTTACAAATGTTGGAAACCTATACAAGTGCCCCTCAGCATCCACGGGAAATGGGTCCCAGAATACCACCTGTACCAAAATAGGAAAATCTGAGAATGTGCATGTCTTATATAATACATTATTTACATATAACATGTACACTTATACCATCTCTAGATTATGTATAATACTATGATGTAAATGCCATGTATAATTTTTATAGTACACTGTATAGGGAATAACAAAAAATGTATATTTAGTGCAGAATCAATTTTTTCCTAGAAGTTGTACAAATCAAAATGTTAACACCTTCAGAAAGGAGGGCTGACTCTATTGAAAAGTATTTTTAGACAAAAAAGCACTGGAAGTGATGCTGGTTAGGTCTGAGTTTGAGGCCAATGTTAAGTGATTTCAAGGCCAGCTGCACTACAGAGATACCCTGCCTCACCAAATTGCCGGGTGTGGTGGTGCACACTTGTAACCTGTAACCCCAGCACTTAGGAGGCCAAGGCGGAGGGCTCAAGGGAGTTTGAGGCCAGCCTGCATTACACACTGAAATCCTGTCTTATCGAATTAATTCTCAGACATTTTTTCCTCTATGAAATTCCCTTGTGATCTCTCATCACAACTCCTCTAGCTCTGTACTATTCACAGTAGCAAGAATCACTTATTATCAACATTACAGTAACAGTATGAAATGTAAATACATTTTTTAGTATTTGTTTACAGTAATAACCCAACTTGAAGCTAACTCTTCCTATAATAACAGCTGCATCTTCCCTAAGTATGATATTCTCATTTCCCCAGGGAGTTTCAGAACACACGTAAGACCAATCTTCAAAAAAAAAAAAAACCCCAATGTTCCTAGTACCTGTAGAGATTAATATCTGCAAATGATTTGCTATTATTGATGGCAAACACACAGAGGAAGCCTTCGCCAGTCCTCATGTACTGGTCTCTCATGGCACTGTATTCTTCTTGTCCAGCTGTATCCAGAATGTCCAATAGACATGTTTCACCATCAATAACCACCTGTTTTCGGTAAGAATCCTGGGGGTAGGGTGGGAGATTAAACTTTTATTAAAAACAAAAAGGCATGGAACATTATTGTCAAGAATAAATACACTTCTTTTTTTTTTGCAGAACTGGGGATTGAACTCAGGCCCTTAAGCTTGCCTGGCAAGCACAACGGCCTGAATTCAATTCCTGGTTCTGCAAAAAATAAATAAATAAATAAATGAACAAACAAACTTCTAATAACTTCTAATTCAGGTCCCTTCCTTTGCATATTGGTTGTCCCTTAAACTGTTTAAAATTATAAACAGAAAGCACTGATTATCACCCTAGGAAAAGGCCCCAAACCCAATACATGTGCAGGGAAAAAATGTGGTTACTGTTCCTGAAAGAGATGAAAAAAAAATTTTAATTCAAACAGCCCTACTGCAGATAAGAAACTATATACAAATTTAGGCTCATAGCATATTAAACTATGTCATGAACCAGACTGCTCTATTTGAGGTGTTTATTTTACTTTTACAATTATAAACATACCTTCAACCAATGAGAACCTACTTCTGGATAAAGAATCATTTCTGGGACTGGGGAAGATAGCTCAGTGACTTCCTAGCAAGTGCAAGGTCCTGAGTTCAATCCCCAATATCACCAAAAAAAAAAAAAAAAAAAAACCAAAAAAAAAAAAAAAAAAAAAAGAGCTAAGAAAAGAAAAGAAAAAGAAAAAAAGTCAGGGCAGTCAGATAGCTTAGTGGTCTAAAGTGCCTGCTTAGGCAAGCTTAGGCGGGCACCAGGGACTGCGGTTTGATCTGCGACACCACATGCTATACCAGGCTGAGCGGGCCAAAGTCATGAGTGTTTTTTTCTTTCCACCCAGATTTTTGTTTTGAGACAAGGGCTCATTGTGCACTCCAGCAGGCCTTGATCTCACTACGTCGCTCAAGCTGGTCTCAGGCTTGCAGAGATCCTCCTGCCGTAGCCTCCTGATTGCTACAATCACAGCATGCTGTACCATGCCCAGCTCATTTGCATTTATGACTAAATATACAAGTATCTTTTGTTTCAGAAAGATAGTAATACCAAAAATGTTTTTCTTATCATAACAGATTATCCTCTGGGGAATATTTCTGATCAAATTCTTAATGTTTCCCAACAAAGTACAATTAATTTTCAGAAGGAAAGGCATAATCTTACAGAGATAATTCTAATTTGGCTCTATGGTAGTAATTTTACTTGTTTTTAATGTCATTACATTAGGGAGATCTCTTCTGTGGCACTGGAAACACTGTATACCTGTCATCTGGGTGGAGGTTACATGAGCATATGCAGATGTAACCCAAGCTGTACACACAAGATTTATATGTTCTTATGTAACTAACTTCAATAAATTTAACTCTGAAAAATGTTCTGACCAATTTTAATGGCAGCTATGTTAGAAGTCAGTTACATTTAAATATTCAATAGCTACATTGTAGGGAGGCCAGGGGTGGATTAAAATTATCTTTGTTGTTATTTATTTGAGACAGGGTCTTGCTAAGTAGCCCAGGCTCCCCTTGGTAATCCTTCTGCCTCAGTCTCCTGACTTCTGGGATTATAGGTGTGCACCACTACACCTAGGTAGAATTTAACTTTTTTTTTTTTTTTTTTTGGGGGGGGTTCTTTTTAGAGAGGGTCTTGCTATGAAGCTCAGGCTGGCCTTGAGTCACTTTGTAGCCTAGACTGGTCTTGAACTTGCTACAGCAATCCTCCTGCCTCTGCCTCCCTAGTAATGGGATTTAAATATTTCTAAATTGAATACAACTATAAAACTTGGGCTGGGGAGATAGCTCAATGGTCTAAGTGCCTGCCTGGCAAGCACAGGGACCAGGTTTAATCCCTGGTACTGCATGCTGTGCCACTGTGCTGGCCACAGAAAATGGGCCTGGTGGCACAAGCCTGTAATCCCAGCACTAGGGAGGCTGAGACAGGAGGATTGCTAAGAGTCGGAGCTGCTTAGTGAGACCCTGTATCAAATAAATAAACAAATAAATGATTTTTTAAGAAACTACAAAACTTTATTTAAAAGACTTAGACAACACTTTAAAGACAATTTATAGCACCAACTCTCGTAACAAAGAATCTTAAAAATGCAGCTACGCAGTACTTTTGTAGTAATTTATTATCTCCTATAAAATCAATTTCTTAAACGATTTACCTAAGTTTTCATATATGAAAAAAATGAATGAATTCAACACTGAGTTTGCAAGTTTACACAGCTGTTAAAAACTGTAAGCTTTCAAAAAAAAAAATCTTTACAAGCTAATAAAAATGAACCCTAGGGCTAGGGAGATAGCTCAGCAGTCTTAAGCACGTGCGTGGCAAGCCCAAGGACCTGGGTTCCATGCCCGGGACCACATACTACCGTGCTGGCCCGGAAAGCTTGGTGGTGAATGCCTATAATCCCTGCACTGGGGAGGCCGCGGCAGGAGGGTCACTATGAGTCTGAGCTGCATAACAAGATCCTGTATCAAACAAACAAAAAATGAAAATGAACTCTACACAAAAAGCTTTGTTGTGTTACTGAATAAGGAATACAAAACAACTTTTTCCTTTCAATTCCTTTAAATGCTTCTAAAAAGTGGGTAAAAGTTATAGGTAAAGAAAAATAGAGCTAGGATGAGCCTGTGGACTAATGCTGGGCCTCACCTCTATGGTGGGATCATACTCATCGACAAAGTGGTTCTGGATTAGCTGGATGGTCAGCGCACTTTTCCCAACACCACCTGCTCCAACCACCACCAGTTTATACTCAGTCATTTCACACCAGCAAGCACCTGTGGGAAAGCAGTGGTAAGGTTAAACGGCAAGCTAGATTCTACAGTACTTGAAAAGCTGTCTACATTCAGTAGTAACTAAAACCAGTTGGAAATATATTGATTCCATACACATAACCTTCCACTGAGTTCTCAGAAGCAAAAATACTTGCAGGTTAACGTGGCAACAGATTCCTGAGTTATAAGACTTCCAGCTAACCCCACCCCGCGTCTACTTTTCAACCGTGCCTGGTCCCCGCCCTCAGCCCAAGGTAAAGGAAACCCCCCTCCCACTCCTCCATCGTTGTCGCAGCTCCGGAGGATGTCTCCAGACCACGACCCCTCCCATTCCCCGTAGGTCTCCGGAGATTGTTCGGCACTAGGCTCCAAACGAAAGACCCCCGCCCAAGGCCTTTGTCTCCACTTCGTAGATTCCGCTCGATCCCTGGCTTCAATGGGACACCGGTATGCTCCAAGGCCCAACGCTATGCACTTGAGCCTTACCTCAAGCTCTGCTGCCCCAACTTCAGACGGATTTAGGATCTTAACCGGGAAAACTGTCGAGGACCCCGGAACCGCCATGAACAGCCCCCACCAGGGAGCGGCACTTCCGGCCCCGCCCGCTACGTAATCAGCCAGCGCCGTGGGCCGAAGACCCCGCCCAGGCCACGTGGGCCCACGGCCTAGTCACGAGGCAGGCCGCACCCAACCCCGCGCCTCCCTCCCGGGACGTTCAATAATGAAAGCGCTAGGTGCTAGTGTCTCAAAAATCAGTAAAACTTTATTCGCTTCCATTCTTTCGCCATTAACAGAAAATTGGAGAAAGCAAAAATGTTTCGTGTTTACAAAGATAAATGGCCTTTTTACCTAGAGTTCAAAACCTCAAACAAAGGGGAAGATAAAAGCGCCCTCCCCCACATCCCCTGAGCTGACCCTTGTCATCTTAAAACAAAGCCTTCAGTCCGCTGGCTACTACGCACTCTGCACGCAGCCAATTCAAGGTGAGGGCCAAGGAATCAGACCAATCCACTCCCGTGATACAAAGTTGAACAGGAGCTACACCAAGGGTCGGGTGCCTGTATTTCACAGGACACAGGAACCAGGCGGCTACTTATAAAAAAAACAAGATTCATTTCAGGCACAACTTTTTTTTATTTTTATTATTTTTTTGTTTTGTTTTGTTTCGTTTTGAAATCAATAAAAGAAACCGGGTCCTAGAAGCTGCAGTGATCTAAGCAGCAGCAAATTTGTGCATTCGTCTTTTTTTCTTTTAAATACGATTAAATTATCACACTCCTGGCACACTTCATTTGCATGAAATTCTGCACCATACATTCTAATTGTAAAGTTATTGACCCCCATCCCAAGGGGGGAAAACACTACTCTGGAGATAATTTTCACTGAAATCTAACAAACTTTTAAGTATTTTGTGACAAGATTATAAATGATATGAAAAATAACATTTTAACATTTGGCCATCAACATAAGAAAATGGTTTGCCTATACAAATTTTTAAAATGTAATATAATCTACCCTCCTATGGTCCTCAGAATTAAAGCATAATGAACAGGAAAGAAAAGGAAAAGAATGCAACTGAATGCTAAGGCAGAACACATCTTGCCAGGAGTAATGAAGGTAGAGTATATACTAAATCAAGTGCAGAATTTCATAGGGCCAACAAGGTAACAGTCTGTTTCACTTATACAGGCGAAGTGGATTTTGCAATTACCAGTTGCGTTAAATGCACCAAATAAAGCTCCTAAAGTGATACTAGAAGGCGCCACCTTAAGTTCTCCAGGCTGCAACTGTGCATAATTTTAAAATGGTTTCTTAAATTTATTTATTTTTTTAAACATAACACGAGGAAGGTGTTAAAACTGGTGCAAGAGCTCAATAGAGTAAGTTTTCCAGATTTTGGGAGGGATGAAGAGGGAGATATTCAGAACCCTTCACCAGAATCCCCCCAGCTCGATCATAGTGGATTAAGGATGTGCTTCGTGGATGCGATTAGTCAATGACACCAGCCTGACGGATCTTTCTTTCTGCACCAAATCCCTGTAAGAAATGAAATTGTTGCAGTCAATGAACTGGATACTTGAGAAAGAAGAATACATTCACAATTCCAAAATATAAATGAAAGTACAAACTTTAAACCATACCACTATCAGTTCTTCCCTATTTTAAATCCTTTTAACCCATTACCATATGTGCAAAGTATCATGAGCAGCAGAAATTTCTTACTGAAAGCGACCATTATGTCTGAGAGTAACAATGTGTAAGGGGCCTTAACTAGCTATATGGAGCTCCTTGCTCCACTATGTTTTCTAATGTATCCTGGCAAAGGGCTGTGTTGGTCAGCGTCCATCAAGTCTTGTACAGAATCATACCATTGAGTTATCTGGTCCCCTTGGCTGGCGAAGAACCATTAGGCGAGGAGCACTGGCATCATCCAGGGTGATGTTTTTCAAGCGATTGACCAACCGATCAGGTCGAGGGGCTGCAACAGCCTTAGGGCCCTCGCTGTAATGAGTCAACAGATGAGAAGAAACAATGCTTGTTGGGAAAAAAGCAAATGCTTGCAGAGGAACATGTTTCCCAACTGACAGAATGACTCACTTTTAATAAATGGGAAACATGTCTCATGTAGATAGCTAGCAGGACAAGACAGACAAGTCTATGTATTTTGAATCTATTTTCCTGTTCAAGGTTCCAACTATACAGGAAGACGAAGAATTATTTGAGTGAGGGTAAACCCTAGACTTGCCTGCAACTAGAGACCAATTTCACAAACACCTAAAGCAAAACAGCACATGTAGAAAAGCTTACACAGTAAAATACAAACAAACAGTTATAGATTCTCAGTTCCTCTCACAGTAACCTAATTTTTTAAAGAGGATATAGGAATCAGGATAACGTAAAAGTATAGAAATTGAGTGGCAAGAGTTCAAGCTGTTCTTGAACTTGCTATATGTAGGCCACATCAAAACTTAACAATCCTGCTCAACCTCCTAAGTACTGTGATTACAGCCTGTAAACAGGTAAACATTCTAATTTTAACAGCATATATACTAGAAATGGATTGACAGAAGGAGCTAATAAGCAGAATTCTTGAAGATCAAATACTATATTATCTTTTTATATTTAAGATCTGGCTTAGCACACTGCCCAAGTGTTTCACTAGGCCAGACTTACAACTAAAGGTCAGGTGATGAAGACAGGGTAGAGACCAGAAGCAGAAAGTATCAAAAAAAATAACACAAAAATGACAAAAAGGGGGTTTGGAGAAACCAGGCACAGAAGTGTAAAAAAAGACAATAAAAGTGACATTGCAGAAACTGAGAGACACCCCAGTATGGTTATTAATCTAATCACAACAAACTCACCAGACTCGCCAAACATTACAGGCACTGCACTTGCCAGTGCGCTGGTTAAGGATCACTGAGAACTCCACCTCGTCTCCTGCCTGTAGCTCTATGCCATCCTGAACCTCTTTCACATGGAAAAAGAGCTTCTTGCTATCTCCTACTTCATAGTTAATGAAGCCAAACTACAAAACAAGCAAACAAACAAACAAAAAAGCTTAAAAACAGCACATTCTAGAAGAAAAAGTATCTCTTTGAAGCATATTGCCTTACCAGAAGATTTATAAAAATGATATTAATATCACTATTCTTACTTAACTGCCCATGTGGCAAAATTTTCCAGGGAAGAAACATGTTTGAAATCACTACCATGCGTTTTATATGCCTGGCTATTAAACCAATAAACAACTGCTGTGTTCTGCAGTAATTTAAATTTGGGAAGGGGGAAGAAAGAGAGAGAAAAAGGATGAGAAATAACTAAAATGTGTTATGTATATGTATCAATTTTCCATGAGGAATGCAATTAATATATACTGCAAATATGTAACAACAAAATAAAATTTGGGGGTGGCAGGTGAGGGGTAGTACCAGGGAACAAACCAAGCTTTAGTCTACTCATGCCCCGTCTGTGACAGGGTCTCATAAAGTCAATTAAGTTGTCAGGTTCAAGTTTGAGATCCTCCTGAGTCAGTCTCCTACAGTACACGGGTTACAAGCATGGACACACTACACATGACGAACTGTGTTTTTTGAATTAAAACACAAAACACCAGGGGCCAGGGAGATGGCTCAGTGGAGTAAGCGCTTCCCTGGCAAGCGCAAGGGCCTGAGTTCAATCCCCAGTTCCACCAAAAAACAGAACAAAACAAAACAGCAGCAGGCAGCCATTAATTGAACATAGCAATCATTTTGATCCCCCTCTAGAATTTAGCCAGATATAATACTGAAGGAAATAGGTATATGATGATGTAGTGATGACTCAGTTGTAAGCCCCAAGCTCAAACTTTCCATTACTTGAACAAAATTCAAAAAAAATCTGTTTTGTGTTTGGAATTTAGCTTGACAGTGCAACCAAAAATCCAACTTGGAAAAAAACATGCATCTCTTTGCACCAAAGACACAAATGGGAATACCTCGGTCTAAGTGCCACTCTTGCCCAGACAACACAGTACCTGTGTTAGTAACATCAAGATTGTGTTTCTCCAAAATTTTTTGCACTTATGATTTGCAAAAATGTTGTAATCGTGGCTGCAAAGAAAGTTACTCATACCAGCAGTGAAGAGAAAAATTGCTGAGAAACACAAGAATTCAAAGAAAGAAATTACTTTTGTTTTAAAAAGTCTTGGAAAAATGAATTTATCAGTGTAATTTTGGGGGTTCAGAGCCCATTATGTGGTTTTCCATTATTTTTCTTTTTTTCTTGAGGAAAGGTTTAACTATGCAGTTCAGGTGGGCCTTGAACTTATTTGAAGCTTCAAATTCACAGTAATCCTCCTGCCTCAGTCTTGTGAATACCAGGATTACAGGCATGTGCTCCATTCCTGACCTTTATTTTTTTAATGGGAAAAATATGTCAAGTTCTCACATTATCTGATTTTCAATCACACTGTGAATGAACTGAGTTCTACAGTCCAGGTATCATCATATTTATTATATAGATGTTAAAAAAAACATTGTCTGTAAACTCACAGGCATTTTAGTACGAAGACTAGTTTTGTGCTCTAATCTTATTTATAAACACTTTCAAACATGGGTTCTAAGTGTAGGCTACCAAGGAAGATCTATGGTTTATGCTGGTTTCACTCCAAACTTACTTTCCTTACCATGTACTATTAAGTTTTTTTATTTTTAGTATTAGTTCTTAATGATTATTTTCTCTTTGCTAAGACAGTTTTCTCTTGTCTTTCCCCCGCCTATTTTTATAAAGTATCCCAAATCATTCTGTGTTGTCACACACTTACTAATCCCAGCACTTGGGAGGTTGAGGCAGAAGGATTTTTGAGTTCAAAAGACAGCTAGGTTGGGCATGTGAGATAGCTCAGCAGACTAACTGCAGGGACTGGCGTTTGATACCCCCACATGCCACGCCTGCCCTGCACCCAGGCAGGCTGATCAGACCAAGACTGGGTTCCTGTAATCCCAGTGCTGAGGAGGCAGAAATAGGAGGATCACTATGAGTCCAAGCTGCATAGTGAGACCCTGTACCAAATTCAATCTATCTATCTATCTATCTATCTATCTATCTAT